TAGTAAAAATGTATATGTGAATTTTAATAGGTATTATAGATTTAAATGGGGACTCTAAATTTCAGCATCAGCCAATTCCCCGACAATAAATACTACAAAATTGTCACTGCAGATTCTCGATTTTGATTGGCTGACGGCTGAGGATCTTCAAAATTTTGGCCCACATTACATAATTGTTACTAATTTCCGACCGGAATTAATTTTTCATTATAAAAATAGAAATTTTAAAAATAACCAGGAACAATTTTTACTTAATAGGCAGCTGTATTTCATTAGTAAAATTATGAGTAATTTGGGCTTAATTTTTTGATCGTCACTTTTAGCCAATCAAAATCGAGAATCTGCGCAACTAATAAAATGCCAACCCTAACCTATGCAATGTTGGGTGCTGAAATAATAAAATCCACCCTTCGTTGAGTTAGTATATATTCGAAGTATGGTGTCAGGTAAAGTAGTCATATTATTTGCTGAAATAAAACACCCGTGTTTAAGAAATTTTATTTTTGATTTATAACTGACATAATACTAGCCAGAATTTATAAAACTATAGTTAACTACCATAACAAAAACCATTTGAAAAATTTATAATGAGGATCATTTAGACTACGTGCTATATTATCACCATAAATCTTGTAATAATTGATTCGGTCTCTCAGTAATTGTCAACTGACTTTGTACAAGATTTGTAAAAAAAATTAGCATTTTTAACCGGTTTAATTAATCTTTAATTTTATAATACAATTCCTTTGCTTTCGCATGTCCTTTTTTAGCAGCCTGCCGTAACTATTTATTAAATTGTTTAGCATATTCTAAATTTAGAGCAGTATCTCCTTCTGTGATTCCTTGTTTATTAATATACAAGAGACTCAAAAAATATTCAGCTTCTGAGTATAATCCCAAATTGGCTAGTTTTAGAAGAATTGGAAATATTTCATCATCTTTTTTTTTGTTTTGACTATATTTTTTAATACAAATCTTAAGAATAGAGTTCAACTGTTCAGGGTTGCTAATATTTACAAGTTCAGGAGAAGTAGAGACACGCGTAAAGTACTCATAATCTTCCATTTTTTTTATCTTTTTTTTTGAAAAAAATCCTTTAGTTTTCTTTATATATACTTTCAAACAATTATAAGTTTATTATCAATATTATTCTAAAGAACAATTGAACTACCATTCTTTAACGAAAGAATACAGTAATACTTTAATTAATTTTTATTAAATGTAAGAAAAAAATTAATTCTTGTCTGCATTATTAATATAACATTTCAATTTAAGTAATTATTGCAATAATTTAGCTCTTTATCACATGATATAACGGACCCATAAGTCCATTATGTCATATGATTATAACTCCAACCAAGAAAATTCATTAAATTTACAATAATATTGTAATGTTAATTCAATTATTAAAATAACATTACAATATTATTGTCAAATTATTTATAGAAAAATTGATTTATCAAATCGATGTTTGTATTTGAAGTAAAATTATAACCAAAGAATTAATTGATAGGTATTCTCTATTACGATGAAATAATCCACTTTGTAGATATACTTTCTACAATTTCCAAAAAAAAAAAAAATTAATTCTTCATAAATTTTATAAATTTTAAATGCAACAATATATCTATAAGAATATATACTATTTATCTAAACAAAGATAATAATTTGGAATTTTGGATTTAATCGTATCATATGATTGGTGTTTAAAACTTTGCGTCAAGTAATCCATAACTTTATTTAATAAAATTGTTGGAAATTAATCAAAAATGCAGAAGCATTTCATTTTCGTGCAAACAAAATGATTAATTCTGAAAAAAATTCATCGATAAGCATTATTAATTAAAATTTTATTCTTTAGTTCCTACATAGGATTAAATTCTATCTCATAAGTACCAAAGTAATCTTTATAT